CTCAGCTCTTACTAGAAAGTTCATGTTCTGACATATATTTTGCTACCAAGTGCACAAGATACATAGGGAAGAGACATATGGGCACACTCTTTCCTTCAAGTGCCATAAACAGTCCAGGTTTGAGTAATTCTGGAGCTACAAACATAAGATTTAGTGACTCAGTAAATTTAGGGTAGGAAAGAGGACCATTTGGCCATTGAGACTTTGAGGAGGAACTATAGGTCATGTGTCATTAATCTATGAAGCTTTGAGTCACTATAAATCTACCAATTTCAGAAGGGGATAGCAAAAAAGAAAAACAAACAAATAAAAAAAACTGGTAATAGTTTGGTTAAATGTCTGACACGATCACTGCTCATCATTATGAGACTATATTGTCTAGGTGGAATAGACAGTAGAAAACCAATCATATACTAGACAGTTCAGTGAAGCAAAAAGGAGCGCTTATTTAGGCAACAGATCATAGGAACAATTTCAGAATTGACTCTTATAAATAGCTGTTGTATTATATTGAAAGGTAGCAGTTGACCTATGGAACTGAGTCTCTCTAATTCCTCTAACCTATCCTCTATACCTCTGTCCCTAATGCTAGATTTCTAGAAGTCTTTCTCCAATTCCTTGCTTATCCCCACCCCTACCTCCTAGTCAACCAATTTAGTGAATCTTTCCTCTATTTTGTTTCACGTGTAAAAATTTCTGGTTGTTGTTGATATGTGTATATATATATATATATATATATATATATATATATATGTATGTATGTATATGTGAATAGGTGGGAAGAAGTGTGGAGTGAGAAACTATACACACATGACAGAAGAGGCAGCTTGGCAACTGAAGGAGAGGATGAGATCAGCAGTTAAGGCAGAGAAATTAATCTTACTGAAGAGTAATGATACATCTATTGTAAGCAGAGGGAAGCAGGATAGATTGGGTAATGACTGAGTTCTGAGAAAAGTAAGAAAGAGGCTGAGGGAAACACTGAATGACTTCAGTCTTCTCGGTAAAAACAGTAGAATAAGTACTTAATAAGTGCTCATTGATTGTTTGACAAAACAAAAAAAATAGTGTGGATCCAGGGAAAATAAGAGAGTGGAGAAAGTATAGCAGGGAGATGTTTGAATCTGACATGATGATTTTTTGTCACAGGGAGTAAGGAAACAAGTTTGGCAGGTAGTCTATATTTTCATTACAGTAGCTTTATTTAGTTTATTTATTTATTTATTTATTCCTCCATTTATTTATTTATTTGTTTGTTTGTTTGTTTGTTTATTTATTTATTTTTCTATTTATGTAGTAGTATTATTCCTACTACTATATCTCTGTAACAAGTTCTTCTTTCCAGCTGCCAGACTTGTTCATTTTTGAGGAAGTCTGGTCTCCATTAAAAATGGGGGTAAGCAGGGCAGCTAGGTGGTACAAGTGGATAGAGTACCAGCCTTGAAGTCAGGAGGACCTGAATTTAAATCCGACCTCAGACCAAACACTTGACACTTACTAAGTGTATGACCCTGGGCAAGTCACTTAACCCCAATTGCCTAAAAAAATGGGGCTAGGCTCCCTTCTCTTATACACTTTGGATATTTAAACACCCAAATGTGGGGCTCTGAGGAAAAATTGATTATGGCTTAGAATCTGGTGCATATCTAGAGTCTCTCCTTAAAAAAAACTAGGAATAGAAAGTCAATCAATGAATAATATGAAGGGGACAAGTATTTATTCCCAATATATGAAATAAATGCTAAAGGATTTTAAAAAAAGACACCTACACGTTGACAGAACAACTTAAAATAGAAACCAATAACAATTCATAATAACTGTATTCTTTCAGGATATTGATGCTTAAAACTCATCAGAACATTAAGGCATTTTGCAGGTCTGCTGAATACGCATTTTATAGTTTCCTTTGAGTCTTCATTGTCCAAACTTCCTGTCCATATCTTTTGGCAAAACAAGCCTGGCTTAGGTCAATGTACCTGTTAGTGGTTGTCTTCTCCAAGAGCACTGGAGCACTTGTCATGGATAGGATCTTTGAAATTCACAAGGTCCTATTCAAATTTTGAAATATCCATCTTGAGATAGCCTCTTGTTCACCTAAGATCAAGAAAGAACTAAGACAAAAGGGGCAGCGCCAAATTCAGACTCAGGTTTGCCCAGACAGGGCATATATTTAAGGAATGCAGCTCAAAATAATCTTGACACTGAAACTGGAAGAAATGAGAAGACTTAGACTGGATTTAGTCCCTTTTAAATATCTACTAATATGGGATGGCCCCTATATTCAACTTCTGCTACAAAATATTAACTTGATTTCTTCTTTTTTTGGGTGATGAATAAGGAGTTGTTTGTCTACTACTTATTTCATCAGATAAATAAAAATGAAGAAGTCATGCTTATGAAATATATAAGCATATATTATATATAATATATAAGCATAATATATAATATATTTATAAAATATATGTGTAAAACTTTACATACACATCTATTTTAAATATGTAAATAGTATATATTTTTATATTTATATGAATATATGACATAAATTTATTAAAATTGTGTAAATGAATATATAGAATTTATATATATAAAATATACATTATACATATTTATATAAAATATATAAGCACAATACATATTTTTCTTTTTTTGTAGGCAATGGGGTTAAGTGACTTGCCCAAGGTCACACAGCTAGCAAGTGTCAAGTGTCTGAGGCCAGATCTGAACTCAGGTTCTCCTGACTCCAGGGCTGGTGCTCTATCCACAGTGCCACCTAGATACCTCTATAATATATATTTATAAAGTATATAAATGACATGAAGCTGGGAAGTTGAATGATTCATTAAATGACAGGAACAAGGTTTAAAGAGAAAGAAAATCTACGATAAAATCAAAAACATGGAACTTTGTAGTGTCTCACACAAAAGATACAACATTTATTGAATTGTATTGAACTAGGTGATTCAGTGGATAGAATGCTGGGCCTGGGGTCAGGAAGACCTGAGTTCAAATCTGGCCTCAAACATTTACTAGCTGTGTGGTCACAGGAAAGTCCCTTAGCCCCTTCTGCCTCAGTTTCCTCATCTGTAAAATGATCTGGAGAAGGAAATGCCAAACCATTCCACTTTCTTTATCAAGAAAACCCCAAATGGGGTCATAAAATATCTGACACAACTGAAAATGACACAAAAACAGAAACAACAAATTGAGCACAAAATCTTGCACTTGAGTTTAAGAAATTGATTGGACATGTTGAATACAACATAGCACAGTGAAAGATCAAGATATTGGAGACAGAGATACTGACAGATACTGTCGCTGATGCTTTTTACCTATATGACCTTGGGCAATTACTCTGAAGTTTGGTTTCCTTTTCTGTAAAATTTATGAGTTCAACAAGATGACTTCTGAATTATTTTCTGTGATTCTGTGTATAGGACAGGGAGAATAGATTTGATAACTCTTTAGATGAAAAAAAGACAAGATTTTAGTTGACCAAAATTGTAATATACTGTATTCCAATGGAGACACAAAGCTAAGGTGATCTTAGGCTGTCTGGTATACAGATAGATCATAGGAAAGAATGGTCCAATTTTAAACTTCACCGATCAGAACACATCTGTACTATTGCTCTCAGTTATTGGGCCACAGTTTAAGATGGATATTAATGATCTAGGATCTAGAAAATATTCAGCGTAGGGCACGTAGATAGGTAAGGAGTACAGAAACTATCTTAAAATAAGTTCAGAATAATAGATTATCTTTTAATGAACTCAGAACAAACACTTAACAAAGACTTAATGTAATAGGCATATGAAGAAAGTATCACGTTTAGGGAAGAGTAACCCAAGGGGTTATACTACCAAATCTTTAAATATGTGAAGGGAAACTATATAGACAACAGAGTAAAACTGGAATCAATAGGTGAATGTTAAATGGAGGTAGATTTTTGTTCAAAAATAAGAGAAGTGTAACAATCAGAAATGTCCACGAAGTGGAAGATTCTGCCTTAATTGATAATGAGTTCCCTGTCACAGAATTTATTCCAACAGAGGCTAGATGAGTTACTGTTGGGATTGCTTTACAAAGGTCTTCATCACTAAGTGAATGATTGGATTAGATTACATTTAAATTATCTTCCAATTAGTGATTTTTGTTTGTTTGTCTCATGTTTGCTGCTATCCTATAGCTTTCCCAAGATGGTCAGAGAAAAGAATGGGCTAGGATGGAGGAGGAACAGAGATAACAATGACAAAACCTAAAACCAATTGAAAATAAAAATGAGGAGATCTAGAAGGTTATGAGTGAAAAAGGATAAAGGGAGGTAGGAAACAGAAAGGTGTGGTGTATTTCTACATATTCAAAGCTTTTTAGCTGACTAAAAGTAGGTAAGTGGCACAGTGGCTTGAACCTTAGACTTGGAGTAAGGAAAACAGGTGTTCAAATCCTGCTTCAGAAATACTTAACTAACTGTCTGATTTTGGGCAAATCACTTAACCTCCATGTGCCTCAGTTTCACCATCTATAAAATAATAATAGTACCATTCAGGGTTGTCCTTGTAAACCTTATATAAATGTTATCTATTCTTATTATTTTTGAATCCCACTTATTAAATATAAATTATACATGTCTTCAAAATATAGGAAGACTGTTAAATGTAGGGCTGGAAAGGGCCTTTAGAGATTATCTGGTTCAATTCCCTTATTTTACACAAATTCTGCCTAAGATCTTGCAATCAGTATTAGAAAACAATTCATCAGACTTTTAGAGCCTGGGTTCTTCCCACTACATTAGACTGCTTTTTTTTCCATGAGTTGCTAGAGTAGCTGTCTGAGCATTAGGTCCTGGGACGACAAACCTAGCAAGTCTGACGCTGGCAAATAAGAGCAGCCGGATTGAACAAGAAGGGATTCCAGAACCAAAGCGTGGGCGGGGCTCTGAGACTGTAGCCCGGAGATAAGGAAGGGGGCGCTCGAGAGCACTTCTGATTGGAAAGACTGCCATGGCCTGGGTGGTTGGTGAGGCCGGGGGCTTCATGCTCCGAGAATTCCAGCCTGGGGACGCGGAAGCGGTGCGGGAGCTGTTCGCTGCAGGCATGAGCGAGTACGGGCCGTTGCTGTGCACACACGTGCTGCAGCAGCCTTGGGTGATGCTCACCCTGACCGGGACCTTCCTGCTGCTGGTGGCCAGCGCACACTCCCTGCTGCTGCCCGCGCTCGTCCTGGCACTGCTACTGGCAACCGGCCACCTGGTGCTAGTCCAAGTCTGGGCCCTCTACATCCGGCGCTGCCTCTCCCAAGACCTGAAGGATATCGGGGACACCTACGCGCCGCACTGCGGTGCCCGCTTCTGGGTGGCTGAGGCCGGGGGCCAGGTAGTAGGTATGGTGGGCGCGCGGCCAGAGGAGGGCCACGGTCCCTCCGGAGTGCTGGTGCTGAAACGCATGGTGGTGCGCCGAGACTACCGGGGCCGCGGCGTGGGCAAAGCCCTGGGACGAGCTGTTCTGGCCTTCGCCTGCGAGCAGGGCTGCTGTGCCGTGGTGCTTGTCACGCACCGGTTGCAGCGCGAAGCCCGGAGCCTCTACCTCGGCCTCGGTTTCAGGCCAGAGGCGTCCCAACCGCTTCCCACCTTCTATGGACGCCTGGTAGACTTTACACTCACCCGCTACCGCTACGACCTTGCCCCGGGGGACTAAGGCGCTGCAGCCTGGGGACGACCTTGAACAGGAGGGTTGTGTTTCCTGGAAAAGGGGAAATAGAGAGCAGAGCTGGAACCCCTCCCTCTTTTGCTTCAGGGAGGGACCCAGATCAAAACATTAATGAAATTAGGATTAACTGGCTTTGGGATATCAGGGGGCAGTGAGAGTGTGTGTATGTGTGTGCGTTGTTTGCATCCTGAACTAGTCATTTCAACTCCCAGGGGCACAATATCTTGTGACTGGATTGTACTTTGTGATTTCTAAGGCTACTGAAAGCAATTAAATAACAAGTCTACTTTATGGGGAGAACAGATGAAGTATATTATATTGCAGAACATTTGGTGCCTCTCACTTTTTTGGGGGGGTCAATGTTCAAATAATTGTTCTGGGTTTGGGGCTAGGGGGTGCAAATACACTTGAAAAGAGAAAGGATGACCAGAAGATTAAAAAACTAAATTCTTTCTTCCTTGAGTTTTCTGAACCTCTCTAGAATGCATTAGCAATACTGTCCTTTCCCACCCCCCACCCAGGCTAGAGCTTACTGTTAATAAACTTAACCTTCTTGTTAACATGCTTAAACTTAGATTGAGAAAAAGAATTTCCCTGAAATTGTACCAGTACTTTTCATAAGTGCTTTGCCTTCATCCCATACGACTTTGATATTAGGTAGCAACATAGAGTGTGATTTGAGGTGCAAAAAAGAAGTTTCCAAATGAGCCCATAGAATGCCTGAAATTCTTTCATTGTCTTTATGAGCACGATTTGAAATTCCCCATATTATAACTTCATTTAGAGTTAATAAGGGCCTTCTTAAAATAAAGGCAATATGTGGAAGGTTAGATTTATTGGTTATTCACACCTTATTAGGAACTAATTGTGAAACCAAAGTCGTCTCTAAAAAGATATCCTCTAATAAATGCAGGGCACTGTTCTATACCCCAGAGCAATAAAGATAAATAATACATGGTACCTGCGTTCATATAACCAACATTTTAGTGTATAATTCAAGGGGGGAGGGAGGACTTATACAAAATATTGTTTGTTGTTGTTCAGTGGTTTTCCAGTTGTGTTGGACACTTCCTGACAACATTTGGTGTTTTCTTGGCAAAGACACTTGAGTGGTTTGCCATTTTCTTCTCTAATTCATTTTTCAGATGAGGAACTGAGGCAGACAGGGTTAAGTGACTTGCTCAGTGTCACACAGCTAGCAAGTCTCTGGGGTTTAATTTGAACTCAAGGCCCAGCACTATCCACTGTCACTCAGCTGTCCTTTATGCAAAAGAAAATAAGACGAATTAGAAAATAAGTTCAAGGAGAGATAGAGCCCTAAGAGTTAAGAGGAAGTTAGAGGGGTACAAGGAAAGATTTCATGGAGGAGGGGAGACTGAATTGTTTGTTAAAAGGAATAGTACTTCTGAGCACATGAGAATATGGAATGAAGTTTCATTGTTGAGGAGATAGAGGTCATTTTGAAAGATTAGATGCTTCCGGGATGGATGGGCCTTGATGCAGTTCAAAATAGGGATTTTAAATGTTTGGGAAGGTATACTAGCAATGGAACACAGAAAAGGAAGTGGAAAAAGTCAAAACAAAATTCTTTACCTTAAAAAAATCTCCCAAAATATATAGTGTTTTAACAAAAGTTTAAAACTGAATTTGTACCAAACACAGAAAGATTGAGGTTTTTATGGATTTTATATCAGTGCTATTTTAAATTTTTGTTTGATTGGTCTAATTGTTTGGTCTGTTATTGCAGCATAACCACATTAAATAAGCTATTGATCTGCTAATGATATAAAATCTGCTTTTGCTTTGTAAATCTTTTCAACTTATAGTAAGTAGTACTATACTTTGTATTAGAGTGATTGCATACAGAGTGCTAGGTTTTCTAAATGTTTATGTTCAGTGTCTTAAATAATTCATTCTGTTCTGGAGAAGAAAAAATCTAGATGTGTTTCTAATTGTTTCTCTCCCTACTTACTTCAGTATTGTCATGACAGTGGATGGACTCACTTGGATTTAGGACACTTTGGTAAGCTTTTGAAGATTCTCTTTTTTGGATGATTCATGCTCAGTTTTGGCAAATGAACAGTAAGAACGCTCAGTAACAGAAAAAAGTTCATCTCTCTTATGGGAAGATTGTACATCAACATGTATTCTGTTATCAAGTGAAACAATATTTGCTACTCAGAAGATATTTCAGTGGAATAGGTGGGAAAACCAAAGTAACTAAGATTATAAATCTTTTACAAAAACCTCAATACTCTTAACGATAATGCAGCTATATAAAATGGGCATTTAAAACTATAATTGTTCTGACACTGGGATATGTTTATTAACATTACTTTCTGATAATTGTGTATGAAAACATGGCTGAAAGGAGCAATTACAAACAAAATGGATTTGAAAGCTTAAATCCAAATGATTGTAACTCTATTTTCACACTATACTAAAATATATTTGTGCACAGGGTTTTAAATTGTAAGGGAAATAAAAATGAACATAGATGGGAGTGTTACTGAACACAGAATTTGCTTCTCCACACAACAGCAAAATGGATCCATTTGCACAAATTCAGATGAAGATCAAAGTACTTCTGTGTAGATAGACTAAGTTTGGAGATGAGCCTGTGGCTGTGTCATTGCCAAAAGTAGCCATTGTGAGTCTTCATGACTGTTATTACAGTAGTGATACTTTTGAGTTATAATGCCTAATCATTTGACTGTTATTTGCAATACTATATATATATATGAAGTTTTGTGTATATTTATGTACATGTTTACAGATTTTACATTTTGCCAGGAAATAAGTCAGCATATAGTGGTTTTTTTTTCCTTTTAATAACAATATTTAAAAGTAGTAATCAAATTTACTTTGCTATTGTTTTACTTTTGTTTCAAAACCAGAATGCTTTATTAAAAAAACACAAAAAAGCCATTGATGTACAGTGGAGTTGCAGCTCCTAGTGCTCCCAGGTGTGACCAGAATCTGATTACAATGTAATTGGGAAATACTTAACAAAATAAATAAAATTACAATAATACTTAAATAATATTAATATGTACATTTCTGTGTCTATATGCGAACAGCAGGCATGTCCCATTTCTATATGAGTTTGACACCACTGAAGAACTTGAACTTCAGTCACAGGCCCAATACCTACTTCTTGTATGAGTAGGAACAAACTGTTTAAATCTGCTGCAGAGCTTCTATTTCTTCCTCTATAAATGAAGGTGACAATACTCAAGCTACCAATCTGACAGGTTGGTCATGAGGACACTCTTTTGTAAAATTTGCACTTTTTTGTCAAACCGGTAATATTAGTTCACATACACATAGGGATTTAAATTTAGGGAAAAAGTCATTCTCTTGATAATAATAAATCATTGAAATTATATGATATAATACCACATTGTTGATAGTGGAAAAATAGGTCTTAAATTGTAATGAACCATAAATCTCTAGGATACCTCATGAAGGGAATCATGTCACTGCCCAGGACTGTGTAGGAATAATATTCCAACCTTCTTTTTCAGTACCAGGAAGAATTCTTCTGTACTTTTAGCTGTTTAGCCCACTTTCAGACTATTGTGTTCATTTCTGGCCATGACACTTTGGAAAGACTTTGAAAAATGGAAATTATTTCAGAAAAGAGTGAGTAGGAAGGTGAAGGGACTTGAGAGTATGCCATTTCAGGATCAACTGAAAGAAATAGAGATGCTTTGCTTGGGGCAGAAAAGGTTTAGAAGGGATATGATCACTGTCTTCAACTATCTGAGACACAGTCAAATGGAAGAGGGAGTAGATTGTGATTCTGTGATTTGTTCTGCTTTGTCTTAGAGAGAAGAACTAGGAAAATCAGTAGAAATTACAAAACGGCACATTTGGGTTTAATGTTAGGAAAAGCTTCCCAACAACTAGAGTTATCCCAATGTGACTTGAGATGACTAGGGTGCTAATGTATTCTCCCTGATTATAACTCCAGATTCCCACTAGTCATATAATTATAGAGGGTCTTCTTATTTAGGTATAATTTGGATTAAACAGCTTTTGAAATCTCTTCCAACTTTATGATTTTGTGATGTTGAGAGGTTTTTTTTTCCTTTTCTTAAATTGCAGTAAAATAAAGTAGTATTTAAATAGGCCAAACAATTATCTAAATAAATGAGCAATAAACTAAAATATATTTTAAAAATAAGTTTTTATCTTAAACATTTTAGCCAATTAAACTAATGTCATCAAGGTTAATATAAATGGTCTTTGTTAAGAAGAAAGATAAGAACAGAAAAGATAAATACGAATTGTAGTTAATGATTGACTCCACAGCCCTAATTAGCTAGAATTTCAGTAACTAGCTTTGAAATCACTTCCTTTGATAGTCTTTAAACTTCTGAAGGATTTTAAGACTTGATGTTATAAGATGAACCTACCACTATTCAACAAAGACTGCTTAAACTAGGCATATTTTACTATCAGTTCTCCTAGGTTGGACTATGAAACTGTCTTGGGTCATGGAGACCAAAATCCGTTGCCTCATTCTATAGGTCCTTTTGGATGACAGTGATTTTTTAAACTGGAAATCAGATTTCTCAAACTATAGATAGCATTCTCCCTGAATTTGCATTGAGAGGAAGACTCTCAAAGAAGCAATCCCAGAATTGTCTTGGGTACTTAATGATTAACTTTTCATATCTTTGAGAACTAAAAATATGAAGAAGAAAAATAACTTTGATGGCATATCAATGGCCTGACATGGATCACGGGAGTAGATAGAGAAGCAGCCTTAGGTCTGACAAATTCTGCTTTTGATACATACGGACTTTGTGACTCCTGGAAATCTCTTGGTGCCCACAGACTACTCTCTAAGACCCTAAATAGCCAAGAAAATGCATATTTCCATTTTAAGAAGTTTCCTCACTGGAAATTCTCAATGCCAGTGAAATCAAAGGTCCAATAGTAATAAAAATGTGGCCTTTTTCATATAAAATAACTAAGGAATATAGATGAAGTTTAACCTGAGGCCGTAAGACTAACTAACTGCAAACAGGGGGAAAAAAGAGAATGTTGTCAGAATTGTATGAGATATGGGGCAGGAAAGAGTGGCAGTAGGAAGAAGATGAAAAAAAATGGCAGCAACAAAAAGGGGTGGAAGGGATTTCCTCCAGTTGAGATAATGGCTAAGCAAAGGAAGACTTAGCTCTGTGCCTTGATAGCAATGTTGTACTTTGAGGAGTTAGAGAACAGGAAATGGATGGGGAGTGAGAAAAGAGGAATGTGAGAGACTAGCAATTAATTATCTACAGTCTATATATATTAGTTGGTCAATAAGAATTTATTAAGCATTTACTATATGCCAGATATTTTGTTGAGTTCTAGGGATACAAAGAAAGGCAAAAGACAGTCCCTGCTCTTGAGAAACCCAGAGTGTAATGGAGCTTATTCATTGAGATGAATCAATACAAGTATAGGAAGACATGAACTTAAAGATGATAACCTTTGGTATCTGGCTGTCAAATCCTATCCTGTGTCTTCTATTATAATAAGGAGCATGGTGTCATGGAAAGAGTTCTGAACTTGGAATTAGAAAACCTGTGTTCAAACCTTGACTACTCTTTATTAGATGAATAACCAAAACACTACTTCTTTGAACCTCAATTTCTTTATCTGTAAAATGAGGATAATAGTACTTATTGTACCTATCTCATAGCATCAACAGAATGATCATTTGAGATGATGTTTATAAAATACCTTGTTACTATATAGTACTACATTAATA